AAGCACAAGGATGGACTGGAAAATACATTTTCTGCCAGGTCATAAGGAATGGAGATATATATATAGAAAGAAATGTCTTTAAGCAGCTTATAAAATACAAACTTTACATTTTGCACATATCTGTCTTGCTAGTGGCCAGGCAAAGGTGAGCAGGACAAAGTCCAAGGCAAGGCAGGGTTAAACAAGACACAGGCCCCAAGACTCCCCAGTCTCCCTGTGAGTTAATTCTAAAACACAGGGAGAATACTTTTAACCTACTGGTTTAATGTTATCCTTTTAAAGTACCCAATTCTATTCAATTTTCTCTCTATGGGATAGCCTTAATTTCTCCTTTTTTTTTTTTTTAATAATTTTATTTATTTATTTTTCCCCCCAAAGCCCCAGTAGATAGTTGTATGTCATAGCTGCACATCCTTCCAGTTGCTGTATGTGGGACGCGGCCCCAGCATGGCCAGAGAAGCAGTGCGTCGGTGTGCACCCGGGATCCGAACCCGGGCCGCCAGCAGCGGAGCGCGCGCACTTAACCGCCAAGCCACGGGGCCAGCCCTAATTTTTCCTATCTTTAAAATGAGAAACAGTCACTTGTTTTTCCTCAGTATTTCCCATCTACAACACTTGGTAAACTTGCCTCATTTCTACTCTATGCTTATCTCTTATTAAACCTTACAGCCCTGGCAATGTGGCTGAAGATAAAGATTTCTCTTCTTTATTGTTAAGTAGTGAACTGAATAGAAATGAGAGTTCCCTAAGGCCACATGCAGCACATCTCTGCTGAGAAGAGTATTTTGACCCCAGGTGGAGCACCAGATGGAAGCAGCAGGCTTCTCCCCAGTCAATGAGGCCAGGGGGACCTGGTGTGGCATCCTACTTCCTCACTCCCCTTCTCCATGCATAGTCTCCATTCCCAGGGCTCGGGGGGATGAGAGTGTGCAACGAAGCAGAAGGTACACAGCACCCAAGGGCAAGTGCTACATAAAGAAACAGTGGGATGCATTACAGAATGCTACAGCTAGGAGGGCCCTCACAGCACATCTAATTCAAACTCCTAATTTTATAGATACAGCAAGGAGCCCAGAAAAGTTAAGAAATTGGTCCAAAGATACACAGCTGGTGGCCAGAACCCAGGTCACCAGCCCACTCCTCTGATCCTCCAACTCACGACAGAACTGAATATAGGAAAAAGCAAAATATAAAGTTAAGTCCATAGACTACACGTCCCCATCACCACCACCAACCAAATAAATAGACTTCTTTTAAAACTACCCATGTCTCAATCTCCCATTTCTTTTCAGCCCCATTAGCTTACTAAGCTCAAATTTCTGATTCTTATCCAAGACTTAATAGACACCCTGGTGGCTTGAGTAGTCAGAATCCCAACTCTGCCCCAGCATGTTGCAGCCTGAGAAGGGAGATCTTTGGGAAGCAGGAGTAGAATATAAGTAGCCTCTCCAACTCAGGAATATTCTAGACCACACATCATGCTTACATTAATGCTGACTCTCAACTCAGCAGCTTTTGAAACTTATGCTGGCAGAAAGGCAACAGGCTACCCATCCAGCAAGAGAGAACAATTCAAGAATTAATGACAAATAAGGAAGCTGGAAGGAAGGCAAATGCTTTAAGTTCAGTCTGGAGCGCATGAGATTACCTCCAGTCAGTTGGAGCAGGGAATGACCTTTTAAGGCAGTGTGCACCACATCAGAATAGGGTACAGCCCATGATATGTGAATTAGGTCCTTTGACATTTCCTATTTCTTTTTTAGTTCTGACTTTTTTTTTTAATTTATTTTATTTTTTCCCCCCAAAGCCCCAGTAGATAGTTGTATGTCATAGCTGCACATCCTTCTAGTTGCTGTATGTGGGACTCGGCCTCAGGATGGACGGAGAAGTGGTGCCTCGATGTGCACCCAGGATCCGAACCCGGGCCACCAGCATCGCAGTGCACGCACTTAACCACCAAGCCACAGGGCCAGCCCTTGACATTTCCTATTTCTATGCAAAGGAAGTCAGTTCTTGGTTATCCACCAAATGATTATGCATTTGGTCCAATTGCCAACAGTGTCTAGGGACCTCCAACCAGAGTTGGCATAGACAAAGTTGGTTAGAAGGAAACAATGGTCTAATGTATTCCCACCTTCCCAAATAACAAGTTTGCATTTAAGCAAGGGCCTTGGTGCCCCAAGGAAAGGGAGTGACTGAGGCATCTCCTAGGAGGCCTGTGGAATAGGTACTTGTCAACATGCAGGCTGTCTGGCTGCATGTCAGCCCTGTCCCATCACCTGATGGGACACTGCTCCAAGACTGGGGACAGGCAGAAGGTACTAGGCTCTAGCACGAGGAGGCAACTTGGTGAATAGCTAAAAAGTCTAGCTGAATTCCAAAACAAAAGTATTTGGGAGATTATGTACTATTTTTATGTTACTCAGATCAAGAGTTAGTCATAACAAGAATCATTCTTACACCCTCTTTTAGCTTATCTCATCCAAGAAAAACTGATTCTCACTGTATTCCTGAGGATTAGGTACTCTAAAAATGACCATCGAAACAGCAGAAAAGACAAAAGACCAGAAAGACAGATCCTTTTAAAATACATAATAATTAGTAAACTAGCAAACTGAGAAAATATCTCCTCTAAAAGAAAAAAGTGATACCTCTCATGGATATGACACATAATGAAGAAAAAAAAGGAAGAAAAGATAAATGAATGAATGAAAAACTCAGAGAGGAAAGGTAAACTATGAATTTAAATTATAGTCAAATGTTAGGGCACCAAACTAAGAGGCAGAATAGGAAGCTGACCAAAAGCTCCTTCTGCTTGCTGGGTTCCTAAGAGTCTAAAATGAGGGATTAAAATGGCTTTATTTCAACAGAACACATTTTGTCATCGGATCTCTATCCATGACATGGCTAAGAATAAGTAACTTATGGCTGCACTCTTAAGAGGCAACAAATCCTGGAATATCGTGCCTTGTTCACTTTAGGATGGCACATCACTAACTGCTTGTCCATCAGAAAAAACATGTCTATAACTTCTAGTTTAAAATAAAAACTTTTACTTTTAACTAAAATTTTTTTTACATTTTTATTTTAAAATAAACAGGATTTCCAAAAAACACTGACTACAAGGCGGAAATGAGGCAATAAAGGATGGGAGACAGAAGGGAAGTAGAGAAAAGACTCTGAGCCTACAAACGTAGTGCTCAGGGCACATTCAGAAGGGCCCTGCCACGACACCGTCCTCCCACTGCTACTCATATGGAAGCTCAGCAAATGCATTGGGACACCAGCTAAACGGTCAAAGAGAAGCATGCCCTTGATACAAACTCCTAAAAGGTGATATCAATTTGTACTCATTCCAGCAATGTGAGGCCCCCTCCTCACACTCCAATTCCTAGGATTCTATCCTAAAGAAATTATCAAAGATATAGTCAAAGATTTATACACAAGATAGGGGTGGCCGAGTGGCGTAGCGGTTAAGTTCGCACGCTCTGCTTGGGCAGCCTGGGGTTCGCGGGTTCGGACCCCGGGCGTGGACCAACGCACCACTTATCAAACTGTGCTGTGGCGGTGTCCCATATAAAGTAGAGGAAGATGGGCATGGATGTTAACCCAGGGCCAATCTTCCTCAGCAAAAAGAGGAGGACTGGCAACAGACGTTAGCTCAGGGCTAATCTTCCTTATTAAAAAAAAAAAAGATTTATACACAAGAAAGTTCACAGCATCACTTATATTAAAAAAGGGTCTGAAACAACAAAAATTTTCAACAGGATGGGAATGGATAATTAAAGTAAGGTACAGCCACTAGAAATCTACTTTCAAAGACTTAAAGACACAGGAAATTACACGTGATACCATGTTAGGTGAGGAAAAAAAAATAAGATACCAAGCTGTATCTATGTCTGACTCTCGATTCTGTTTAAATATTATACATATCATATGCATTATTAAATACTGAAAAGAAATTCATAAATATACCAGCAAAGATTAGCTCTGTTCTAGATGGAAGGAAGATGGGTTTTTATTCTTTCTTGAGACTCATCTCTAATAAGCATATGTTACTTTTACATCAGAAAAAAAAATTTATTTTAAAATATGCCTACCCTAAAATATCTCATTTGAGATAGCAATTGTCAGTCTAAAGGAAAGGCTGCTAAACTCCAAGGCTGACTCAGAGAACAAAAAGATTCAAGTCTACACAGTAACTCTTCTGAGAAAGATGAGGAATCTCGTGTACCACAGTCTAGGTTTTTCCTCTGCCTTGGTGCTGGCTCTGTGCTACCGGCTTTGCCGGGAGCTCTACTGGAAAACCCATTCCTTCTCCCCACAGCAACCACAGCACCTTAAACAACCTCTTATGTGCTTCTCATCTCTTAGTTTGAGGACCACAGAGAAAGAAAAAGGAAGAGCCTTACTCTCTTTTCTCAGAGGAAGAAGTTTTTCTTGTAAAGCTATCAAAATGACTCAAAATCAGCTCACAAATCTTGAAAGATAAGTCATGAGTTATGTCCAGGAACCATGTATAAAAGCCCTTTATTGCTCAAGAATGAATACAAAACAAAATCTAGGAGTGCCACCTTGTGGCAAGCCTGACTAAGATGATGACCACCCGTCCATCTCTGCGGTTCTCCTCCACCCTGGGCTCCACGCAGTACGGCCACCGAGGCACACACCCGAGAATAACCTAGTGCAGTGAACACATGGTCCCAAAAGTGGCTGGTACGATTCGTTTTCAAGGATTTCTAGTTTAGATTTCTAGTGTAGCAATGCCTGTTTGAGGACAAGTGGGAATGAAGGGGCAGAGGAACAAAATGCAGGACGTGCACAGGAGTTTGTGGGCTGCTGCTGATGGGCCGCAGGAGCACTGTGTGTGAGGTATATCCATGCACACACACCGTGGGACTGTCACGTGCAGGGACCTGTAGGATAAATATCTCCTCCCCCAAGAATATTCACCGATTTTACGAAGTTATGAGGAAAAAAGTTTTACATTCACAATCAGCGAGCTTTGTGCTTAGAAGAAGTTTTATTTATCAATGTTAGAGCAACCATCACCAACTTGGGCACAATTCCAAAACAGAGCTGTTGGTGGATTCTGACCATAAAATTCTTTTTTAAGCTTGTTAAGATCTTGTAAAGTAAGAAAGTTTTCTTAATACTTTAGAAAAAATACTAATCACTAATAAGTTGACTTCGTACTCAAAGTGGTGGCCTCACATTTTAAAGATAAAACACCACCGATTTGAACATCTAAATGTATTAATTAATCTCAGTGTCCCAGGCAAGAGAGGAGATGGAGAAATCCTCACATTGCAACCTGACCAAATGACTCTGGGAGATAATTAAGTGCTTAAAAGAGGTCAGTATTGCAAATCTGATAGAACATGAAACACTGAAGACACCTGCTACTGATTCTGAGAAAAGATAATCTTTCTCTCAGAAAGGGATTAAGCTAAAACCCTTGCAGTCCTGGGAGGAGGGCTGCAGCAAGCAGACAACAAACGGCATTAAAGGGAAAGCTGATCAAATTATCAAAGTTCTATTGGGAGTTGGTGCTTATGCTTCTCTCTGCCCCACCCAGGTGGAAGGTCTATTTCCAGAAAAGGATTCCCCCAGCGTTAGGGTGGAAGCATATGGCAGGAAGTTGCTGCTTTGGTCCTGGATGTGTAAAGGGGAACATTTTCAAGCAAGTGAAATAAACTGAAGTGATCCAGACGGGATGGATCCCAACCAGGTGAGCTGCAGGAGAGCATTAAGCCAAAGAATTTATAATTATGAGGTTGAACTGGGAAAATGAATCTGACCCCTTATTCACCTCTCCAACTTCTGGAAGAACGTTTTCTCCCCTCCGAACCTGACGGGACTGAAATACTTGTCAGCCCCTTTGAGATAAACCAACATACTGGGCAGGGAAGAAACGTATTAAAGATCTGAGAGTCTTGACAAGTCACTTCACGGAAAATCTTCCTTTTGTTGTCTGCACAGGGACAGCAGAAGAGGGGAAGTTAAATAAAGGCCAAGGCCCCGCCATGTCCACAAAAATAAAATACGAGGGGGGAAGATAGAATTCTCACTCTACCCAACTAAAATTCAAAACCATAAGCTCCCCTTAATAAAACAACAGCCTTGCTCCACCAGAAGCATCCGGGGATCAGTATGGGTTAGTATTGTGAGTTGTGTCACCAGGCTTTGACAATTAACGACATATTAAAACAGGAAGAGGTGACTTTTCCACCTTGGCTCCAGCTTCCCAGCTGTCCTAACCTGGGAGGGAGGCAGCTATCAGGACAGCTTGATGGGAAGGTCTTCCCCGTACTTCCGGAGCAGCTTCTGATGGTTGTGGTCCACCGACCACTGCTGGGGCAGGTGCTTGGGCCGCATGGAGTCCAGGAAGTGCTGACGCCAGCGGCTCTCCAGCTGCATGAGGGAGCGCAACCCGTCCCGGGTGTGGCACTGCACCACCTTCAGCCCGTGAGGAATGTAGTTTTCATTGGAAATCCTACCAAGACATAAGTACAAAGGGTCTCAGGGAAACAAGCACAGGACGGTCTCACAGATGGCTCCACACGCTGCCGGCCACGGAGCCTCCACAAGAGTATATGGAGAGGCTGCTAGACTCCTAGAGGGTTGGTTAATGTTTTTAAAACATCCTCTTTCCCATATCTGCCTTTTTTTAAAAATAGTTCAGACATAGTGCACACAATCCAACAGAAGGCATCTGAGGATTCTGAGCTGTACGTATGGGAAGGTCACTGAATAATGCTCAGCCCCTACTAGAGGGTCCTACTGTCTGGCTGATGATGGGTGAAAAATGTTGGTCTTTTATTTACTCCAGGGTTACCCAGTTACTAGCTCACCTTTCTTTTAAGTTATTCATTCCGAACCATACTCAGTATTTATACGAGGCTGTTAAATCAGCCCACATGTTCCAGTTTTTCGTAACAGTGTAATAGCTGAATGTAAAATGCAAGGTGGTACACTTCTTTAGTGCCTTATTTCTCACAAAAAGAATGCCAAACCACATCCATGAGATGTGTTTCAGTCACAGTGATATGCTACCGTGGTTGCTGAGTTGTACAGCTGGTGCTGTTTAATGGGAAGATGAATCCCTGCCTCCTTCCTAACTAAGCGCCGAGGCCATAAAAACTGCTCCAATACCATGCGAACAGTGTGTTCACCTCCTGTGGATACAGATTACCTTTCTCAAGGAAGCTCCCTGCCCCACAGACTCCCTTCCTCTCCCCCTTTAGCATCCATACCCCACTCTCAATCCTTCCTTCCAAGACCCCCACCAGTCTAGCAGTGTTAGTGCTCCCTGGGTATGTGCAGACACTTTATTATTTAGCTTGCACGCATCCCACTAACGTGCCTATCTTTCCCCAAACAGCTATTCTTCTCAGTCCTAGACATCCAATTCCAGCATCCTTCTATCCAAGCCAGCAAGATGAATTTGTTAAAAAGCTCTGTGGCTGAAAGGGGAAGTTTAGCTCTTTTAGGAAATACATTTGAGAACAGGTTAAATGAGCCAGTCTCATTAATTTCTTTTTCTTTTTTTTTAATTTGCTTTATTATGTAACAGGTTTGTTGATATATATATATATATATATTTTTGTGTGTGTGTGTGTGTGTGTGTGTGTGTGAGGAAGATTAGCCCTACACTAACATCTGTTGCCAATCCTCCTCTTTTTGCTGAAGATTGGCCCTGGGCTAATACCCGTGCCCATCCTCTTCTACTTTATATGTGGGATGCCTGCCACAGCATGGGTTGATAAGTGGTGCACAGGTCTGCGCCCAGGATCTGAACCCGCAAACGCTGGGCCGCTGAAGCAACGTGCACGAACTTAACCACTACGCCACCAGGCCAGCCCCCTCATTAATTTCTAATATGACCTTGGCAAGTTACTTAACTTTAACCTCAGGGTATCTAATATAAAACTTGGAAGATAACATCTATAACCTTATACAATAGTTATAAGGATAAAATTCAATAATAATTTTTTTAACTTTGAAAGATTTTAAAAATGCAGGATATAATGCTAGCAGTTACCAGTAAGAAATCTAAATCCTACCTCGTAGTGTTACTATAAGAAATAATTAAGGAAATTTATGTAAAGTTTATTAACTTGGTTAGATAGATTAGTATATCTATAAATATTTGTTTAATAAATATTTGCTGCTATAATTAAGGTTTTTTGGTTTTTGATAACAAAATACTATAGGCAACCAGCATCACTATCAGGGTTTTGTGAACTTAGTTTAATTATTTCAACCCCGAGTACTACTGAAAAAAGTGACAGGTGGGAAGCAAAACTATAGCAGGTAGCCCAGAGTTTTATCATCTGAGCCATGTACCCATTCACTTCTCAGGATCATAAACTTCTCATTTAGGAACACTGAGTTAAGTCCTATGAATTCAGCTATGTACTCATAGGGAAGGAGAGACAAAACGAGGAAGGAAGGAAAAGGGAGAAAAGTTATTTAAATAGTAATAGCAATTCTGGCCAACATTCCACTCGGTGGCCCAACACCCTGGAGTGCAGGTGAGATGGGAAACGTGAATCCAGTGGTCTCAATTCCCACACACCTAGATAAGGTAAGAAACAAAACCACGTACATTGTATTTCATGGGCAACTTCAGAGATTTGAGGGCATTTTTGACTATTATTTTCATTTTATGTGCCGACTTGAGGATTTACTTCTGCTTAGAATGTATAAGGCACAACTCCACTGCATTTGAACTCTACTGCTAATCATGAAAATGACTGGCCAGTAGTATATGACCTTAAAGGGTCAAATAGAGAAAGCAAAAGTCTCCTATGGAAAGGAGATTCTCAAATAGATTGTTCTGTCCCACTCCCATGGTATCTGAAGCCATTAGACACTTAATGGCATAAGCACGAGGCTATGCACTGCACCTACATGGCTAATGCCCTTTCTGGCAAGCGTTCTCACTAAGGAGTCAGGGTTAATGTCACTTGGTTATTCCTCAATCCCTTCTGTGACCAGAACTGTAAATTGTACCTGGTCTCCAGGCTGGCAGCCTCTTGAAGCATCTCATCTGTGACGGTGTCTGTGTGATAAAACTCTCTGAGGGCTTGCAGCAGCTCTTGCTTTCGATGAGCAGGCAAGCTCTCTGCATTGAGCAGGGCCCTGGCCCCAGAACGCACCTGCCGGCGCTCAGGATCTTCCAGCAGGCGCAAGCCCTCCTCAGAGCCAATGGGGGCCTGGAACTCCTTGGCCAGCTGCTGCTTCAGATGGTTATCATAGTAATTGGAGATGGCATGGCAGGAGGTACAGAGCAGCAGCACATCGTGGGAGTTGTGGTCCTTCATCTCAATGGGGAAGTGCTTCCGGTACTCATGTGGAATCACGTTCTTCCTGAACAAGCCCACCCAGAAGGCAGTGCTCATTAGCACATGACATAGAATACATATGGAACCAGCAGGCAGGCTATTGGGATTCTGATCTGGGCCTAAACATGACTGAGAAGCCTTGGGCACCACAACCCAACAGAGACTACATAAAGGCAATACTACCTATTCTACTCTCAGCCCACCTTCCTACCCAGGCCTTAGGTTCCTCCCTCTTTGAAGTAGAGACTACCTGCCATTAGGCTTAGGTAGAGGGCCAGGGGTAGGGAGAGGCTAATAACAACCTTTGAGAAGGCTTTGCTCCCAGAAGGAAAAGTATCAGAGAAATTAAAAGAAATTCTCATGACCTTTAATATCTGGAAAACAACCTCCTCAAAGCATGCAGGAGGTAACCTCTACTCCCGAAATTTTGGAAGCCTGGTGACCTGAAAAGGCCAATTTCCTTCATCTGAGGAATCCCTTACTCTGAGATTATTTCCCTAGTTCATCAAAGTCCATCATTATTTTCTAAGGAGAACTAAGCTCTCAGGAAAAACTCTTGGTAGCAACAACTATTTGTCTTACTTTACAAGGGGAGAAATGAGGAAAGTGAGTCACTCCATAGAAGCCAGGGAGAAAGACCAAGTGTCTGGGCACCCAGGCTCAGGCTGCTTCACCTTCATTATGTGGGGACCCTGACACAGAACAATCTTCCCAGACTATTCCAGAGTACGCCTTCACGTCATCTGGATACCTTATGAACAGACCAAAGATCAGAAAGCTTGTGAGCCACTCAAGAGAGGATCATAAGGACAGAGAGAGAAAGGCAGCTTCTGAAGGAACTGATCTACATTCCTTTGTGAACAAAAGAGAACCATTCTCTTTATGGAAAATTATTACTGAGAAGAGTGTTGCATTCCAGAAACTAAGAACTGGGCTCAGCAGGGGTAGGGGCCACTATAGCAAGGCCAGGCAGAATGTTGGAGTTCTCAGGGAAACTGGGATGCCCCTTCAAGACAAGTCTCTCAGTCAAGGTGGGCAGACTCAACCAAGGCCCCTGAGAGCTCTGCATGTGGCTACAAGGGCAATTTCCACCCGAGGCAGACAATCAGGGCAGCCCAATCCCACACTCACCTAATATAGGAGTCTTTCTTGCCACACACTACACACAGGTTCTCTTTAACCATCAAGTAGTAGTCTCCTGGGGATTCAGGTCTTCCTGCAGGTTCAAACTGTAGCTTGACCACAAAAGGCTCTTCGCTCACCAGCTCTTAGAGAAAAGAAGAAGCGTTAGTGTGTGACTGCCCACCTGCCCCCAGGGAAGAAGCACCTCCTTAACTGTTCTCTGCTGTGTCCTGGCAGAGATCACTATTTCAGGGTTTTGAATAGCTCCGTGCCACGTGTCTTAAGGTCTCTCTGCCTCCTTCTATCCATCCATCTCCCTTATCTCACCCCCTACTCCTGCCAGTGCCCACATGCACCTAATTATAGTTAAACTTTACAGTCGACTCTCAAACCTCCAATGCCTTTGTCCAGGTACCACTGAGCTTTCCTTCGATCACAAGTGCAGAGGGGCTGTCCATCAGGAGCGTGGAGAAAGCAGTTATCATAGAGGGGTGATTTTCTGCAGAGAAGAGAGAAATAAATCTAAAACTGAAAGTTAACTATTGGTCAAGGTATCAGTTGCCTTCCCACGTTCTCTTCTGAGTGACCCAAGCTATTCTCAACACTAGGGTCAAACACTACAGTCATGAGCTGCATAACAATGTTTTGATCAACAATAGATCGCATATACGACAGTGGTCCCATAAGATTAGTACCGTGTAGTCTAGGTGTGTAGTAGGCTCTACCATCTAGGTTTGTGTAAGTACACTCTACGATGTTCACACAATGACGAAATGGCCTAACAATGCATTTCTCAGAACATATCAATGTCGTTAAGTGACACATGACTGTACATTTATGGGAAAAAACCAAATATGGCAAGAAATCATGTTTATTCCTCTATCTGCAATGGGCTAGGAAACAGAAATAAAAGGAATTAGTTTATACTCCTAGTTTTTATATTTAGGAATTACGACATTAGGGAGTGAGTTAGGTAGTGTTTACATAGCTTTATTGTGAAAGCAAACAGAAAGAGAGCACCAAGAAAATGGCCCTATAGAGTAATCATTGGATTAAACAAAGTAAATTAAAATTGAAGAAATTCAGCTAAAGTAATGAGGGCCACGTGGATTTATTTCTGGCTCATATGCAATACTTGCTTCGATTTAATCATCCAATTCCTAAAGGCACTTCGCTACAGGGACCAAACTTCCACTCCAAAGTACTTATGAGTCATCTTTCTGCAACAGAGGTATAAGTTGTACAGGAAAATTGCCACTGGCTAGAGAATAACGTTGACTTAGAGTTGGATGCCACTCTAAATAATCAAATACTAAATGAATAAGAAATCAGATGCTGCATTTTTTCTGAAAAGTATGAGGCACTTCACGTTATTCATTTTCACAGCTATCCTGAAGCAAGCAAGGAATAATAATTATACCCTCGTTCATAACTGAGGAAAGTACAGGTCAAGGTCACATCGAGGTCAGTGACAAAGCTAGGTTAAGCTCTCTTCATTTCCACTCCAACTATCCAAATATAAAAAAGTAAAAGAAGAGGAAAAGGAGAAAAATACACAAATAAATCAAAAGATAGCTCCAAATGTCCTTGAAGGAAAGAAAAAATAAACTTAACCCCTGGAGAGCCTCTGCCACCTTTCCACATAGCCGTTTCCCCAGACCCAAGGTGAGGCATCATGCCTTGTGCTAGAGGCTGGGCCTCTCACTCTTTAACAGAGAGGGAATGACTCGCTTACCTGGCAGAATAGCCCACCCCCAGGGGCTTTCTTTTATGTTTTCTGGGGTCTCTCCCTTGGTGGTTGCCTGGCATCATTCCATCAATCTTAGACTTCTTATTTCTTGGCTTCTGCTGAGATTCTGTTGCTTCCCCATTAACCTCTTCTCCCAATCTGCTAATTCCCTTGCTTCGGAATGGGATGTCTACCATATCCTGGCATTTCTCCAAGACTTTTCTCCAGCCAGTGCAGTCACTGTTTTCTTCTGGAGTTGAGTTCCTAGAGAAAGGGTATCCAAGAAGATGGAGAAAGAGAGCCACTGAAATCTGGGCATCCCTGGCAGCATAAATTACCTGAAGAGAAAAGTCAGAGATCAGTGGAATCTGGAAGGCAAACCAGAGACAGTAACTTCAAAGTCAATCACAAAGACATAGGCAACTTTTAGGATTCTAACTCAAGATGTAAAATAACCTAGGCACCACATGCTTCTTAAAAACTTCTTGGGCCGGTCCTGTGGCTTAGTGGTTAAGTGCGCGCGCTCCGCTGCTGGCGGCCCGGGTTCAGATCCCGGGTGCGCACCGACGCACCGCTTCTCCGGCCATGCTGAGGCCGTGTCCCACATACGGCAACTAGAAGGATGTGCAGCTATGACATACAACTATCTACTGGGGCTTTGGGGGGAAAAAAAAAAAAAAAAAAAGTTAAAAAAAAAAAAAAACTTATTACGAAAAATTTCAAACTATACAAAAGTAAATAGAATAGTATAATGAATTCTCACGTTCCCTGTCTATGTTTTTAACTAAAATAGCTAACATAATGACTTACTCTAAAGGCTCGAATTTCCTAGTCTATATAAATCGGTGCAGTTTCTTTCTATCTGCTACCAAACCTGCTGGACAGATTGTTCTCAAGTTTGGGGTAGGGCAGTTACCACAGGTCTGACAACTAATACAGGAACTTCACTTTGGGAATGGTCATCATCTAGAACAGCTGAAACCAACATTCATTAAGAGGCCCGTGTGACTATTAATCAGAAACAACCTGCCATATCTATTAATACAATGTTGAAAACAAACAGTTTCAAACATGAGCCTTAAATCAAAAGTCAAAGCGCCCATTTCTGAAATTTATTTATTTAATAATAGTGAGTCATTCTCCCAAGCAGCTGGTCACAGGCAAGTTGGTTATAAATAAAAGTAGTCAAAACTATAACTAATAGCTTTTCCCAAAAAAGAATGTAAGGAATTAAAATTCCTTTAATCCCCTTTAATAACCAAGCCTGGCAAATAATACCGTTAGTAAAGACTTTTATGCTTTTAGAATAAAACAAGTTTGGATAAAATTTTTCACTTAGACCAAACAATCTACATATCTATCAGCAAGTCATCTCCCACAGGAAAAGACTGTGCTTGAATGTGAAGAGTTCAGAGTGCTTTTCAACAAATTGTTTTCAAATGATAAGGAAACCAAAGCATTTTCAACAAATGGTCTGGAACAACTGGACATCCACATGCTAAAGAATGAAGCTGGACCCCAACCTCACATCACACACAAAAATTAACTCAAAATTAACTCAAAGTGTAACAGCTAAAACATAAGACTCTTAGAAGAAAATACAGGAGGAAATGTTCATGACCTTGGTTAGGGAATGATTTCTTAGATATGACACCAAAACCATGAGCGTTAAAAGAAAAAATAGATAACTGGACCTCATCAAAATTAAAAACTTTTGTGCTTCAAACGACTCCATCAAGTAAGTGAAGTGAAAAGACAACCTGCAGAATGGCAGAAAAGATTTATAAACCATATATCTGATAAGGGACTAGTATCCAGAATGAATGAATATATATATATACATTATATATAAAACTATATATAATGTATAAACTATATATAATGTATATATATAATGTATATTATATATAAAAAATATATATTTTATATATATAAGCATATATATAATGTATATAAATATATATACATTATATATAAAACTATATATAATATATACATTATATAATGTATATAATGTATATAAACTATATATAATGTAAAACTATATATAATGTATATATACATTATATATAAAACTATATATAATATAGTTTTATATATTTAATATATCCTATCCTAACTATCCTATATATAGTTTCAGGATAAACTATATATAATATAGTTTATATATATAATATATATATAAACTATATATAATGTATATATAATATATATAAAACTCAACAATATAAAGACAAACAACCCAATTAAAATATGAGTAAAGAATCTGAATAGATATTTCTCCAAAGAAACTATATATATAGCCAATAAGCACATGAAAAGATGCTCAGCATTATTAGTCACTAGGGAAATGTAAATCAAAACCACAATGAAATACCACACCTACTATGATGGCTCCAATCAAAAAGATAGACAATAACAAGCGTTGGTGAGGATAAAGAAAATTGGAACCCTCATACATTGCTGGTGGGAATATAAAATGGTGCATCTACTTTGGAAAATAGTTTGGCAGTTCTTCAAACAGTTAAACATAAATTTACTGGGCCGGCCCCATGGCTTAGCGGTTAAGTGAGCGCACTCCGCTACTGGCGGCCCGGGGTTCAGATCCTGGGCGCGCACCGACGCACTGCTTCTCCGGCCATGCTGAGGTGGCATCCCACATACAGCAACTAGAAGGATGTGCAACTATGACATACAACTATCTACCGGGGCTTTGGGGGAAAAAAAAGGAGGAGCATTGGCAATAGATGTTAGCTCAGAGCCGGTCTTCCTCAGCAAAAAGAGGAGGATTATCATGGATGTTAGCTCAGGGCTGATCTTCCTCACAAAACAAAAAACAAAAAAACATAAATTTACCAAATGACCCAGCATTTCCACTCCTAGGTATATACCTAAGGGAATTTAAAACACATGTCCACATAAAAACTTATACACAGATATTCACAGTGGCATTATTCATAACAGCCCAAAAATGGAAGCAACACAAATCTCTACCAGTTGATGAATGGTTAAACAAAATGTGGTATATCCATACAATGGAATATTATTTAGCAATAAAAAGAAATGAAGTACCAATAAATGCTACAACATGGATGAACCACAGAAACATGGTAAGTGAAGAAGCCAATCACAAAAGACCACACATTGTATGATTCCATTTATATAAAATGTCCAGAATAGGCAAATCTATAGAGACAGAGAGCAGATTGTTTAGTGGTTGCCTAAGGCTGGGGTATTAGGGGGGTGGGAAGAGAAGTGACTGCTAACGTGTATGAGGTTTCTTTTTAGCGTGATGAAAATGTTCTAAAATTAGACTGTGGTGATGGTTGCACAACTCTGTAAATATACTAAAATCCATTGATTTGTACACTTTAAATGGGTGAATTTTATTATATATAAATTATATTTCAATAAAACTATCAAAAGGAAGGAAGGAAGGAAAAAACAAATGAACCCAGGCACAAAGAAGTAACTTACTCTGGGTCATAGCAAACCAGAAACAGCTACAGAAAACAAATTCAGATAATGTGATTCCCAGAACTTTAAGATCCTAACTATTGCTAACTTTTTCCACTGACAATGTTTTGGAAGGACGAACAAGTGGTAGCTGACTCAGCAAACAAGAGAAGGCTGAAACTTAGGCCCAGAGAGGGTGGTAAGCCAAAAATTCAAAAATCAAATTAATTAGAGCCACAAAGAATGGCAAAGCAAAAGGAATGGGAGGCACTAGGTATCATATGTGAAAGCTGGATACAAGTAGGGGTAAAAACAGGAGGGTAAGACGAAAGTCTCCGTAAAGAAAACTTACAACCCTAGATCTCCTCCTTTACACCACAGGGCCAAGCAATTCCTTCTTCTCTAATCCAAAAGAGTAGAAGTTTGTAGAACCAAAACCAAAACAGAGCCACTTATGTCAGGGACAAGATGAAGTTGGCCAATGCAGGCACATTAAAGAAAATGAAACTTTATTTAACATAAGTTGCAGGAATTTACAGCTCTCCTCAGAAATCAGCGGAGGACGCCAGCCAATCCCCAGTCATGGAGTCTGTTCGCCCCATGTTTTTTTCCCTTGTTCCCCCATCTCAGCTACCCTGATCCATTTAAGAAAGAAGACCCCCAGGCAACCAATCAGCTGAAAAAGCCAAATAACTTCTGCATTTACCCCATAAAAATGCTTTAGTCTCTGAGCAACTCGGAAATCACTGCTCCCGTAGCCTTGAGTTTCTCAGCTTGCAGGTCAGAACCCCTGCAATAAACTCGTCTTCCTGCTTTGTTTTACTTAGTGTGCAGAGTTTGGTTTTTGACAAGTTTAAGTCATATAATGGCTAAATCTGGACCTAGTAATACTAGCATGGTGGAGGTTGAGGGCAAAGTGTCACCTGAAAAAGGGGAGATTATCGGAAAGTCTACATATTGAATGGTCAGACTACCCGCACCTTTCCCCGACTCAGCTACCAGGATAAGCTGTAGGGCTTATACCTCTTGGGCAGAAGACTAGAAGATTCATCTCTGGAGAAACTGAGTAGCCTGAGAGGAAAGACTTACAGTTACTGACACTGACTGTAATCTATAGTTACTGATAATAAAACCCACTATTCCAAAAGTCCTGGCCATCTGTGCTGTGCTTTCAATCTATTTTTTTAATGTCAGATTTAAATATTATTCTCTAAAATCTCATTAAGCATCATGTTTATAATTAGAATAAAAACAATAAACATTCTAAAAACAAAGAATGAATAACAGTCTTTGGAAATTCTGAATTCTCACAATAATGTGGACCACAAATTTAGTAGCAATTTTTCTCTCCAACTTTTTATTTTGAAAGTTTTCAAACCTAAGAAAAATTAAAAGAATGACAACTGACATTCACAATTGTCAATATCTGCTTTACCAAAACAGATACCACATACTTTTTTTCAGCTGAACACATTTCAAAATTAAGTTGCAGCTATTAATTTTTAAATTTTATTTATTTATTTTTTTCCCCAAAGCCCCAGTAGATAGTTGTATGTCATAGCTGCACATCCTTCCAGCTGCTGTATGTGGGACGCAGCCCCAGCATGGCCAGAGAAGCAGTGCGTCGGTGCGCGTCCAGGGTCCGAACCCGGGTCACCAGCAGTGGAGCGCGAGCACTTAACCGCTAAGCCACGGGGCCGGCCCTAAGTTGCAGCTATTATGACACTTCATCTCTAAATACTTCAGTGTGTATCTCCTAAGAACAAGGACACTCTCCCACATCATCACAGCACCATTATCATACCCAAGAACTTTAACACTGACAAAATACAATATATACTGTTCTATTCTAATCTCTCCGATTATCCCCAAAATGTCTTTTACAGATACGTATATGTATAGAATTGTGAAACTATCACCACAATCAATTTTAGAACATTTTCATCACCCCCAAAGAAACCTTATGTCCTTTAGCAGTCATCCTCCACTTCTAGCCCTAAGCAACCACTAACTTATTTTCTGTCTCCATAGATTTGCCTGTTCTGAACATTTCATGTCAATGGAATCATACAACATGTGATCTTTTGTGACCGGCTTCTTTCCCTGAGCATAATGTTTTCAAGCCTTGTCCATGTTGTAGCGTGCATCCTTTCTATTGCTGAACAATATTCTATCATATGGCTAGACCATATTTTATTTATTCATTCATCAGTTGATGGATCCAGTCAGCTTTTTAATATCTCCCTCTTAAATATGAATGGACAGCCAAGGACTTAAACATTTGAGAAAAATCGTTAACATGAAAGACAAATACAAATACCAAACATTTAAAATAAGGAACTCAGAGGAAAAAGGGGCAAAGCAGGAAGCAGAAGAAAACTTCACAAATCTTCAATACTCGAAGATAATAGAAGATATTATATTCATTAAACAAAAATGGGAAGTTATTTTTAAAGTGAAGACCAAGGAGCTCTTGTAACTAAAATATGATAGGAATAATTAGAAATAATAGAAATACTGGAAGTAAACTTGAGAAAATTTCCCAGAAGGTAAAACAAAAAATACAGAGATGGCAAATAAGAGAGAAAATATTTTTCTAAGAAAATCAGAGGATCAATTCAGGGGGTCCAATATCCAAATAAAATGAATTTTAGAAACAAAAGGGAGAGAAACTGTCAAAGAAATATTATGAGAATAATTATCTGAAATGAAAGACATGAGCTTCCAGATTGAAAGGTTCACTGAATTCTAATACCATAAGGAAAAATGGCCCACACTAATGTATATCATTATGAATTTTAAAAACTAAGAATAAAGGGCAGATTTTCCAGAAAGAAAAACAAGTCACATAGTCAGCATCAACACTGGAAGCTACAGGACAAGGAGCACTGTCTTCAAAGTTCGGGAGGAAAACAATTTCCACCCTAAAATGCTACAATCAGCCAAATTATCAGTTAACAGAGAGGGAAATCAATATCTTTTCAGACATGCAGGGTGTCATAAATTAACTTCCTACGCTCCGTTTCTCAGGAAGCTATATGAATGTACTCTACCAAGACTAGAAAGTAAAAAGAAACAGAATTTGGAAAGCAGACTATCTACTATAGAAGAGAAGTGAAGGGAATTCCCAGGCTGATGGTAAATGCAAATTCCAAGAAAAGAGTTGGCAGCAGGGCTGGAATGCAATCAGTCTTGAGAGGAGCAGGATGACAGACGGCTCTAGGAGGGACGGCTCCAAGAGAAACGAAACAAATAAGTTACCTGATGTGTCTGAACCAGCCCAGAGGAGATCTACAGTTCTGTTAAAGAGTCTGGGGCTGAAACAGTTCACAGGTATACAGAAAACTAAGCAAACAAAAGTACAAATGATCAGGGTCTGGCCCAGTGGCGTAGCGGTTAAGTTTGTGTACTCCACTTCTGCGGTCCAGGGTTTGCCGGTTCAGATCCTGGGCACGGACCTATGCACCACTCACCAAGCCATTCTGAGGCAGGGTCCCACATAGAGCAACTAGGAGGATGTACAACTATGACATACAACTATCTACTGGGGCTTTGGGGAGGAAAAAAAAAAGGAAAAAAGGAGCAAGATTGGCAACAGATGTTAGTTCAGGGCCAATCTTCCTCCAAAAAAAAAAAAAATACAAATGATCACTCCTGGGAAAACAAAAAGTTGTATAAGAAAAAAACCTTAATTTCAGTTTACTATGTGGCTCAGCTATAAATAATATCAACATAAGTAGTAGATATTAGTCTGATAAAAATGACGATTTACCTATATCAGGAGCACAGGGAAGGGAATAAGTATCTGTCTGGGGACAGAGGGACTGCAAGAGTACTAAATCATGTTTTCCACAGTAAAAAGTCAGAAAATAATATATAAAATAAGCAGTAATATACGTATGTAATTTAAAAATATAATGGTAATTAGCAGAAAGAAATGAAATTAGTTGCCTCTGAAAAGAAGGAAGAGCAATTAGGAGCAGGGGGAGGAAGGCAGGGAATTACTTACCATTTCTTTTTCTCCTCCTCTTTTTGCTGAGGAAGACCGGCTCTGAGCTAACATCTATTGCCAATCCTCCTCCTTTTTTTTCCCCAAAGCCCCAGTAGATAGCTGTATGTCATAGTTGCACATCCTTCTAGTTGCTGTATGTGGGACGCCGCCTCAGCATGGCCGGACAAGAGGTGTGTTGGTGCGTGCCCGGGATCCGAACCCAGGCTGCCAGTAGCAGAGCGCACGCACTTAACCACTAAGCCATGGGGCCAGCCCCTTACCATTCTTAAAAGTCTTATAACATTTTGATTTATTAAATTAAGCACTTGTATTCATGATAAAAAATTACATCTTCTGAAATGCCTGGCATATAGTAAATGGTCAAAAAAATAAGATAGAATAGGGACTCCGACCCTTTTATTTAAGCGGCATCTACATTATTATAAACCAGTTATCATGGTTATCATCAGACAATGAGTCTACTTTAAGGCATTTCTGCCCAATACTTATACCATTTTTGAGGATTAAATTTTCAAAAACAATTATACTTCGCAAGCAATACTCTTCCATTCTTCAACTACTCTGATAAGAAGTACCTGGTCCTCAGTAAGATTCTCAGCATCCCAGTTGCTGCAACGGAGTAGAAGGGACTTGTCAAGGGGAAAGTTCAAAACGGTCTCAGCAAGTGATTTCAGGCTAAGCCCGTTACAGAGCAAATTGCTTCTACAAGAAATAAATAAAATCATGTATCAAAAATGGGCAAAGGACAAGAACAAGTAAATCAAAAAAGACATATAAATGGCCAATACACAGATGACACATACTCCATGTCACTAGATATCAAATAAAATAAAAATTATATATAATTCTTTAATCTATCAGATTGCAAAGATTTTTAAAAATAACTATCTATACTACTGGTGGAGCATGAAGAATCAGACACTCTAATCTAAAATTTGTGAACTGTACATTTATGCAACCTTGATGAGAAACAGTTTAACAATAAATAGCTATCAAAATTTTGAACATGAAAATTCTCTGATTCAACAATTCCACTACTAGGAATTTATTATAAGGACAAATGTACCTAAAGCAATCTTCATTGAAGCACTATTTATAGTAGCAAAGAATTGGAAACAACCTAAATGCCAGTCATCAACAGAAGACTGATTAAATATCCACGCAATTAAATTCCATACAGCTACTAAAAATAAGGAAGTGGATCTATATTGATGTGAAACGATGTCCATGACATATTAGTTAAGTAAAAAGAGACTTTGAAAGAAAATACGTGTTGTAGTTCCTTTCTGTTAATATATATACTACAATACTACATAATAAATGTGTCTATGTGATTCCAGGCATGTGAGAGACAGGAAGCACAAAGAGATAACTAAATTAATCAAATGTTAGTGATATTATCTCTAGGTATGGGATTTCAGGTGATTATACATCTCCTTTATGTTTTTCTATAGTTGAATTGTCCAGTGTTCATGTATTACTTTTCAAATTTGAGAAAATAATAAGGCTATTTTCATTGAGGGAGTGAATGTACAATATAATCAAATAATAACCTTTCTGCTCTTGAAGCACTTTCTGATTAAAACAGCGGCAGGATGGTGAAAAAAATTAATTTGTCAAGGATTGCAGATTCCAAACAAGAGATAAACATGTTAAGAACACAAAGGTCTACAAAAGTGGAGCCGACTTCCTGGTTACCAAGTAAGAGACTAGAAGTTTTAGAGCAGGAAGCTTGGAGGTGGAGGTTCATGTCAGCGTTACAACATGCAGGATTCCCTGAGGCATAGTAGGACATGAAATCATTATAAAGATGAAGAAAAGGAAGTCTTTCCTTACAAAAACAAGCAGTAAATTGATGGATTTCATCATCCCCAAAAGGCAGCACTGACTAAAAAGTGAAAAAAAGAAGGCCAGACACACTTAGGTAAAACACACAAGGTCTTGGCTCCATTAATGGAAATTACAGATTTGGGGGAGACATAAAAGTTTCTTTTGTTTCATTAGAAATTATAAAAGTAATGAATGCTTATTATTAAAAATTCAGACAATAAAGAAGAATAATGGGTGAAAAGTGAAAACCCTCTGCCCTCCACTTTCACTCCTCAGGAAGAAGACTCTCAACAGTACGCTGTGGCCCCCTCCAGACTTTTTCCATGCACAAATAAACAGATGGTTAGATAGAGAAGTAGATACAGTTTTTTGATATTTGTTTTGCTTTTTGTCCTGCAACTTGCTCTATCACTTAATGTAACAGAGACCTCCTTCCATGACAGTAAGTACAAATGTACTTATTTCATTCCTTTCAACAGCTGTGAAAATTTTCAAGCATGGATATTCCAAAACTCTTGAAATCATTACCCTCATTGAAGGACAGTACTTGGCTTTTAGTTATTTAATTCCATTTAGGTCATCTTTTTTTAAATGTCATATTTGGGAAGGTTTCACATTTCTTGAGGGTGAATTAAAAACAAGATGCCACCTTTTCCACTTCAAAGTTCCACTAGGAAAGATTCCAAAATCATATACAATAATCTCTATAATAAATCATCTTCAGTTAACATATAATAAAAAAATATAAACAGTATGAAGAAAAGAAGACATCGTTACCAAAGAAAAATTGTGCTCCCTCCCAAAGTCAACTGAAAGTAACAACTACCTATGGCAAACATCAGGAGTAACCTATGGCTAACAGTGCTAAGTATAATTCTTGCACTAAAACGTCCAGTTTCTTACACTATGATGTCAAAAAACTTAAATTTTACTACTAAAGTGTTCAATAATAAAATAAGAATAATTTTTTAAATTTTAATAAAATTTCATTAAAAATTGAAAGGGTTGGGGCTGGCCCCATGGCTTAGCGGTTAAGCGCGCGCGCTCCACTACTGGCGGCCCGGGTTGGGATCCCGGGGCGCGCACCGATGCGCCGCTTCTCCGGCCATGCTGAGGCCGCGTCCCATATACAGCAACTAGAAGGATGTGCAACCATGACATACAACTGTCTACTGGGGTTTGGGTAAAAAAAAAAAAAGGAGGAGGATTGGCAATAGATGTTAGCTTAGAGCCGGTCTTCCTCAGCAAAAAGAGGAGGATTAGCATGGATGTTAGCTCAGGGCTGATCTTCCTCACACACACACACAAAAATTGAAAGGGTTGATAAATGCTTCATTCTTATTTTTAGAGAAGTTCATGGTAATATTCAGCTTCGGCACAATTCTTATTTTGCCACTTGGCCAGTCTGCGTTGAGCCAAACAGAGAATTCAGTGCACCTCTAATTTCTATATATTCATAGAGAAGACTGTAATTACATAGAAAGATCTGGAAGGACAAACCAATTGGACGATGGTACTGAAGGTGGTAGTGATGATGACGATGACGACAGTAATAGTTAAAATTTACACAGTACTCTCTATATATCAAACACTATTTCTAAGTTCTTTGCATAGTTTATCTCATTTAATCCTCACACCAATCCTATGAAATGGGAACATTATTATGTCTACTTTACAGATGAGGGAACTGAGGAATAGTGAGGTTCAGTAACTTGCCAAAGGTCACACAGCCTGTAAGTGGCAGTGCTGGGGCTCCCACCCACACCGTCTGCTCCAGGGTCAATTCTAGCCACTATGCACACCACCTCTAAAAGCAGGGAGTAACAGTGGGCACCTCTGGGGAGGCAGTGCCAGAGGGAGGAGGGCCTGATGAAAGGCGGCCTTTGCTGTTAGACTCCAAATACTTCAAATTTAGGCAAAAAAAAGAAATAAAAGGTATCCAAATTGGAAAGTTAAAAAATTTTAAATACAGTAAATATTTTCATGTGCTACTTGAAAAAAATTCATACTTTATTATAAAAGTTTTATTTACATAAGCCAAACTACCAAGCTAAAATTTCATTTTATATTCAAAAATTACAATGTGTAGATTTTAATCAGGCCTTCTCTTAGTTTATCAAATCTTCCAACCTTTTTTTTTTTTTTTTGTGAGGAAGATCAGCCCTGAGCTAACATCTGCTAATCCTCCTCTTTTTGCTGAGGAAGACTGGCCCTGGGCTAACATCTGTGCCCATCTTCCTCCACTTTATATGGGACGCTGCCACAGCATGGCTTGACAAGCTGTGCATCGGTGCGCGCCCGGGATCCCAACTGGCCAACCCTGGGCCACTTTAGTGGAGTGCGCACACTCAACCACTTGCACCACCAGGCTGGCCCCCTCCAACCTTTTAATGTCAGTACCACTGAAGGCAGGGAGAGAGGCTGTTTCAGTCCAGTCTTAAAACAAGGACCTGTATGAATACATGAGAAGGTAATTGTGACTCCGTAAAAGAAAAGTTAGAATAGAATTTCCATATGAACAGAATTCCAAGGGAATGGGAAATCTCTCTTCCTTGCAGTAAAGCATTAGGTCTACCATCATTTTTTGTCCAAAGCAGGGTTTGCAAACACTCATCAGGATGAGTCAGGGTTGCAATGGGAGAGGTGGGGACTCTGGCAAGTTGAACGGAACATGCTCAGCTGAAGAGAACAGCTGCTACCTAGCCAATTGCTGCCACCTAAAACTGTTGACCTTGTCAAATCATCTAATTTTTCAAGAGAAGCTAAAAACACAGATTTTTACATTAAATCTTCTAGATTTAAACTAAAATTTCCCAAAAATATCACATGGGAAAGAAACAAAAACATTTCAGCTCTAATTTAGCCAGTGGGGCCATCAGTTTACAACCTGTAGCTCATAGAGACACGTTATTAATGTTTCATCTAAAAAGACCAATTCTAGGTAACTAAAATTTTCTCAGAAGTTAGAATATTTCCTCACAAATTCAATATGCATCTCAGAAGGTTCTAGACTTCTAAAGAATTTTAGATGCTGCATTACTGAGTCTCAGTAATCTACAAATCTTGCTATTTGCCCCACTGTACAGGAATTCCAGCATTCACAGAAACCATACCTCTGCCTCATGGCTAGGTATCGGAGGTCCAGGCACCCCTTAACAGTGAGGCCATAGTCCTGCAGAAGCTTGCTGGCATCTTCTGAACATCCTACTCCAACTTTTAAAATAGCGTCATCTGCCAAAATGTCCAATAACGTTTTTGGTAGTGTTTTTCCTCCACAGACCAGCCTGGGCAAGCGAACCAAGACACAGAAGCCACTTGGGGAGGCCATCTGAAGAAGTGACAGAGGACTGGCTTTGCCTTCCAAATTCACCTGCAACAGAGGAAAACAGGGCCACAGTTCACACCCCAGCATAGCAACAAGCACAACATGAAACTGGCAAGAAAGTCTAAGAGATACATCCTTAACTTCCCAAAGGGAACAGCTGACCAGAGTGTGGTTCAAATCTAAGAATGAGCCTTTGCTAACAAATGCAACAGACTCTGTGAAGCAGGAGCCTAAGCAGAGGTTACTGAGGGCCCAAATATGAGCCTGAAATATGAGCAGTCCATAAATAGTGACCAGCTGGCACAAAAGAGCACTGGGACACACACTGGCAATGTCATGTGAAACATACTGGTTTTAAAAGGCCAAGGAGCACAGTGCCAAATGATAAACATATTCTTTTCATTATCTAGACTCCCTAAAATACTAATAACTCAACTCATTTACCTCATCATCGCTGCCTCAAGATTCGATTTTTAAAAAGAGGTAGGAAATACAGTACTATAAATAAGTGGTACCTGCCAATATAATAAATCCTGGGAGCACAAAGTGCTTTCTCAGCATTTTATGGTCACAAATGTCATTCATAAAAGAAAAAAAATGTATATTGTGTATAAGCTAGGATTCTTATATTTTAAGAAATGAAAATAACGTTATATATTAACTGATCTAGTTTTAATCTTTGTGAGGTAATAGATAAACTGAAGAAAATGGTGAAAGCTAGGAAGTTATTCCCAGAAAAATTTACATACAAAATTCATGTTAATTAAAGGTTGCCTAAAGTGATCTACCAAACCTAGGTTAAGCACCCAATAAATTCCAATCCTTCTCATTTTTCAGGAGAGGAAATTTAAAGCCTACAGGTGACGCAGTTTGCCCAAACGCAGAGAGAGAATGGCAAATTCAGGACTAGAAACTAAATTTCCCAATCTCTAGAATAATAGTTCTCAACCAAGATTGATTTTGCTTCCCCCACCCCCACGCCCAGGGACATTTGGCAATGTCTGGAGAAATTTTTGGTTGTCACAACTTGGGGGAGGGGTGCAATGGTATCTAGTAGTTAGAGGCCAGAATGCTGCTAAACATCCTACTGCGTACAGGATAGCCCCTCACAACAAAGACCCATCTGCCCAAAATGTTACCAGTGGGGAACCTTCTCTAGGCAATGCGGTTCTCTCACTACCACGCCATCAGTGTGCTAGGCACCGCACCAGGTGCCACTGTGGGTACAAAGTTACAGAAGAGGTGGAAACTGCCTTAAGAATTACAACCTTATAGGTGGAGTACAATATGCACAAGCTCACACCTTCAGAAACGACATGGTAAATACCAAAGGAGTGGTTCAAACAAAATGTTACAAGTACTCAGAAGAGGGATATTTCATAGTTGAGGTGATCAAAATCACAGAGAAGAAACAGTCAAGATCACAAAGAGTGGCTGTTAAAAACAAAATTCAGGGGAGTGATGTCAGCATCATGGTGGAGTGAGCTCTCCCCTTAGACTCTCCCTCCTAAGATAAAATGAAAAGGACATTCATATGCCAACATAGGACATTCACACAACACAAAGGCATCAGAGAGACCCACATAGCCATATGTCTGAAGGAGGAGTGCTGGACCCCCTGGAGGAAGTGGAAGGAAGTAAGGAGATCTCCTCTCCCTCCCCCAGTGGCAGCGATCCTGGGCTCCACACCATGCAGCTCTCAGAGGAGATCGGGGAGGAGCGGCCCTCCACAGGAACACCTGTCGCTCTCCACATCCCCTCACAGCCTGGGGGAAAACCCCACACAAAGATGACTAAGCTACTGCGGGGGTGTCTTCATCAAGCCAGCACCCCAGGAGAGCAGATAGCGAGGGCAGAGTGAGAATGCCCCTGGGATTGCTCAGGAGAAAAAAAGCGCCCCTCCTCCCTGCCTGGCATTCCAGCTCAGCTCGTCGGCCAGAGCACCTGTGCAAAGCATAGAAAACCAGCAGCCGGCAGTGAGCAAGTCAGGCTCATGGTGGGCTCAGAATACACAGCTCTTGACCCCCACCCACTGGCGGCAGACAGAAGCTGTGACCAGATATTATCACTATGCAGAGGCACAAATCTATGCTGTCAAACAGTATGAAAAAATATATTAAATTTCCGGACCAGAAGGAAAATGCCAAGCACACAGAAATCAATCCTGAAGGCACAGAAATTTATAATCTAAATGACAGAGAATTAAAAATAGCTATCATAAAAAACTCAACAAGTTACAAGAAAATACAGATAGACAGTTCAACGATATCAGGAATTCTTCACAAAAGTGATTGAAACTATAAAGAAAAACCAATCAGAAATGTTAGAGACGAAAAACACAATGGATGAGATAAGGAAAAATGTGGAATTCCTGAACAACAGAGCTGATATTATGAGGGACAGAATTATCAGCTTGGAGGACAGAAATACAGAAATGCTTCAGATGGAGGAGGAGAGAGAACTAAGATTAAAAAGAAATAAAGAAATTCTCCGAGAAATATCTGACTCAATTAGGAAATGTAAAATAAGGATTACAGGTATTCCAGAGGGAGAAGAGAAGGAGAATGGAGCAGAAAGCTTGTTCAAAGAAATAATAGCTAAGAACTTCCCAAACTTGGGGAAGGAGCTAGAAATACAAGTGGAAGAAGCCAACAGAACTCCTAAATACATCAATGTAAAAAGACCTCCTCCAAGGCATACGGCAGTAAAGCTGGCAAAAGTCAATGACAAAGAAAAAATATTAAGGGTAGCAAAGCAGAAGAAAATAACTTACAAAGGAAGCCTATCAGGCTTTCCTCGGATTTCTCAGCAGGAACTTTACAGGCTAGGAGAGAGTGGAATGATATATTCAAAATTCTGAAAAACAAAAACTTTCACCCAAGTCTATCCAGTGAAAATATCCTTCAGATACGATGGAGAAATAAAAACTTTCCCAGATAAACAAAAGCTAAGGGAGTTCAGCGCCACAAGACCCCCCCCACATACATGAAATGCTCAAGAAGGCCCTCATACCTGAAAAAAACAGAAAGGGGTTACAAAGCCTTGAGCAAGGAGATAAATAGGTAGACAAAATCAGAAAATTGCAACTCTCTATCAGAACAGGTTAACAAACACTTAATTATAACATTAAAGATAAGGAGAAGGAAAACATAAAAAATAAACATAATACCATTGTAACCACAAACTCATAACACAAGATGGAATAAGCTGTGACAATAATTACCTAGAAGGGGAAGACAAAAGGGATGGAATTGGCTTAGTCTAAGAAAATAAGAGGCTATCAGAAAATAGACTATCTATGAGATTTTTTTATATAAACCTCATGGTAACCACTAAAGAAATAATCAGAACAGAGACACAAATGATATAGAGAAAACTAAGAAAACCATCATAGAGAACTACCAAACTGAATTGGTAGTCCAAAATACATGGGACAAGAAACAATGGACATGTAGAAGAACTGGAAAACAAGTGATAAAATGGCAGCGTTAAGCCCTCCTAGATCAATAATCAATCTAAATGTAAATGGATTGAATTCTCCAATCAAAAGACACAGAGTGGTGGGATGGATTAAAAAACAAGACCCAACAACATCCTGACTCCAGGAAACACATCTCAGCTCTAAAGACAAACACAGGCTCAGAGTGAAGGGATGGAAGACGATACTCCAAGCTAATGTCAAACAAAAGAAAGCAGGTGTTGGGCCGGCCCTGTGGCTTGGTGGTTAAGTGCGCGCGCTCCGCTGCTGGTGGCCTGGGTTCGGATCCCGGGCGCGCACTGAGGCACTGCTTCTCCAGCCATGCTGAGGCCACGTCCCACATACAGCAACTAGAAGGATGTGCAGCTATGACATACAACTATCTACTGGGGCTTTGGGGGGAAAAAATACATAAAATCTTTAAAAAAAAAAAAAAGATAAAATAGGTAATGAGAGACAAAGAGGGGAAGTATATAATGATAAAAGGGATACTCCACAAAGAAGATACAACATTTATAAATATATATGCACCCAACACAGGAGCACCAAAGGACTTAAAGCAACTATTAACAAACCTAAAAGGAAATACTAACAACAACACAATAATAGTAGGGGACCTCAACACCCCACTTACATCAATGGATAGATCATCCAGACAGAAACTTAACAAGGAAATAATGTCCTTAAATGAAATACTAGACCAGATGGACTTAATAGAAATATATAGAACACTCCATCCAAAAATAGCAAAATACACATTCTTCTCAAGTGCACATGCAACATTCTCAAGGACAGACCATATTCTGGGAAACAAGGCAAGCCTCAATAAATTTAAGAAGACTGAAATCATATCAAGCACCTTTTCTGACCATAATGCTATGAAACTAGAAATCAACTACAAGACAAATGCTGGGAAAGTGACAAAGATGTGGGGACTAAACAAGCTACTGAGCAACCAATGGATCACTGAAGAAATTAAAGGAGAAATAAATAAATATCTGTAAGACAAATGAAAATGAAAATACACCATACCAACTCATATGGGATGCAACAAAAGTGGTCTTAAGAGGGAAATTCATAGCAATACAGGCTCACCTTAACAAACAAGAAAAATCTCAAGTAAGCAATCTTAAACTACACCTAACAGAACTAGAAAAAGAAGAACAAACAAATCCCAAAGTCAACAGAATGAGGGAAATAATAAAAATTAGAGCAGAAATAAATGAAATTGAAACAA